GTGGGCACCCTTTTGGAGGCGGTGGTCAGCAGGGGCACCCTTTTGGAGGTGGTGGTCAGCAGGGGCACCCTGCTGGCAGGGAGACACCACTTTGCAGCAGATGAACAGCCAGACATCAACTCAAACTACTGGCCTTAGTCCAATTCCTAACATTTGTATCTTACACAAATAATCAGGATGCAAACATTTACTGATTGTTTTAAGTTAATACTTTCCTAGTTTATATTCTAGCCATCAACATTTCTGTCTCAATTTTTTTTTTTTTGGCAGAGAAAGAGTCTTACTTTATCGTCCTCAGTTGGAGTGCCATGGCATCACCCAGCAACCTCCAACTCCTGACCTTAGGCCATTCTCTTGCCTCAGCCTCCCGAGTAGCTAGGACTACAGGTGCCCGCCGCAATGCCCGGCTATTTTTGTTGTTGTTGCTGCAGTTTGGCCAGGGCTGGGTTTGAACCCGCCACCCTTGGTATATGGGGCCGACACCCTACCCACTGAGCTACAGGCGCCGCCCTCTGTCTCAAATTTTTTAAACACTTGTTTCCTGGAACTTCTGAAAGTAAAAGGGAGGCTCATCCCAATTCCTGTGGACCTGCTGAGGGGTGGAGAGGTGCTCCTGCCCAAGATGCAAAGGCCAGGCACAAGGCGGGAGGGGCAGTGGCCGCCTCCTCCAAGTCTGGGTGCTCCTTCACCTGCACACGCGTCCCAGCCTGAGACATGTCTGAAAAACACCTCCAATGAAGACCTGGAAGGACAAGCTGCGCTGCCACCTCGGAGCAGGCAGGCACAGAGCTGCTCTGGACCCCAGGAGCACCCACGACACATTCCGCCTTTGGGAATTTTTTCATCGAAATGTATTCCTTACATTTACTTCTACGGAGCAGGCCTGTGAGTACATATTTCACCTAGGCTAACACCAAGATGGTGTTAAATTTATCGTCCACTAAGTTTAATGCAAAAACTCAACTATGAGCCTCAGTACCCTCTCCGGAAAATCACTGTACACTGAAAATCCAGACATTTACTCAGATAGAGCCGCTCTGCCACCTGCTTTCACTCGCCACAGCCACCCAAGGCCAATCCAGACAAGACCCAGTGAAAGTGGAAAGCCCAGAGCCAGGCTGCCGCTAGAATGCCCTGCCCCCACTCAGCCAGCAACCAGGCGAGCCCCTACCATGCCACAAGGCAGGTGATTCGTCATCAGTGCTCCAAAGACCATGTTCTTTTTTTTTTCTTTTTTTTTTTGAGACAAAGTCTCACTATGTCGACCTCAGTAGAGTGCCGTAGCATCATAGTTCACAGCAATCTCAAAACTCTTGGGCTTAAGTGATTCTCTTGTCTCACCCTCCCCAGTAGCTGGGACTACAGGTACCCACCAGAACACCCAGCTACTTTTTGGCTGCAGTTGTTGTTGTCTGGCAGGCCCGGGCTGGCTTCAAACCCGCCAACCCCGGAGTATATGGCTGGTGCCCTATCCAGTGAGCTACAGGCGCCGAGCCCCAGAGACTATGCCCTGGAACTGCTTTGGTCCTGGCTGCTTCCGCCTCTACCCAATTCCCAGAGAAGGCCGCTTTCCTGCCCAGGTATGTCACCCTTGGCCAGATGTGCTCTCTGTAGCCAAGTGTATCTCCTCTTGCCAGGAAGTGTGTCCTCCCAGGCCAGGCTATCTCCTCACCAGCCAGCCTGTCCCCTCATGGACCCCGCTGGCCCCTCTGTAATGGAGGGACTGCTGGCAGGTCCTTCTCTGTGGCTTTGAAGGCCCCAGGCTGAGCTGCCAGGAGCTCCAAAAACTGTCCCAGAACATTCTCCCCTCTCACAGCTTAAAACACTATTTGAAAAAAAAAAAAACACACCACACAGGGTTGACAAGGAACATTCTATAGCTAAGGTTTTAGGTTGGCAAAGGGCACTGGCTGCAGGGAGGCGGCCAGAGTGCAGGAAGCCAGACCGGGGGCCAGTTCCAAATGCTCCCTCAGCGCCACATCAGTGAGAGGAGGTGAACAACAGCATTGCCCTCACTCAGCCTTCAAAGAATTAAACAAGGGAACACACACAGAGCCACGGGAAGGATGCCTGGGGCATTCTGACGCTGCCATCACGGACGCTGCCATCACGGCCACTGCCAAGGCCTCATGTGCACAGACAAGAGCTGCCCTCACTGTGGCCACTTTCTGCTTCAGGGACGCCTCACATCAAATATTTATAAGGTGGTATTTTTAATTATACTCTGGCATAGGAGGAAGTTTTAATAAGTGCTGCTAGTATTAAATTCTGAGTGGCTTTAAAGAAAAAGAAACCTTGATCTATCCTGTGCTGGTTGCCAAAGCAAAAGGACCTTTGTCGTGGTGAAACTTCCTCCCAAAATTCAACTCAGTATCCAGCATAAAAGCTCACCAAGCCTGACGCCTGTGCACGAGAGAAACTGCGCTCTGCAGGCCTGTGGCCTCAGACCACAGAGCCGCCTTCCTCACCTGGACCCCGGGCGAGCGCTGCAGCGTGCTGGTGGGCTGCACCGTTGTCTGTGCCTGAGACACTTGCTTAATTATGGCAGTTGGGGTCACCTGCCGGGCAATGATTGGCGTCCCAGGTGCCTGAAAGACAAGGAAGAGTCATTAAAAACAAGCTACCTATAAGAGGAACTCCCCACCCACTGGACATGAAAGTCGACAACTAACTAGCATGCTCAGGTAGTTCCACACGCTTACGCGCTGTTTTCCAGAAAGTCACCCTAAGGCAGAAGTTTTCTTAAGTAAGAAATCTCTTCATGTACTATAATAAAAATATTCAGATTTCTTTCAGAGAATGCTGGTGTCTGGAAACCCGCCCTTGCTCTGCTGCCTGTCGTCTTGTTAACAAGCACTACAAAGGTGGAGGGGGAGCACGAGCAGACCTGCCCTGGGCCGAGGGCTGGCACAGCGCTGGGGAAAGAAAAGCAAGATGCCCTGAGCCTGCTGAGTGAAGCTGTCTGAAGAGGAGCCAGCGGCCAACAGCAACAAGATGCCACCTCTCAAGCAAAGCCCCAGGTGCCACCTGCTGTGTCTACTCAGTGACACCACAAGCCTTGAGGACACTGCTCCGTGCTGCCTCCACCTTCCTGACCAGTCTGTGGAAGCAAGACTCCTCCTTTCTGGAGACAAGTGGTCAAGATCATTTTAATCTTCACTGTGGCCACTAAACCTGCCAATAGCTCAGAACATCGAAGCTGGGCCCAATGACTCACGCCCAGGATCCAAGCACTTTGGGAGGCCGAGGCGGGAGGAACACTTGAGCTCAGGAGTTACCAACCAGTCTGAGCAAGAGTGAGACCCCATCTCTCCAAAAAACAGAACAATGAGTGGGTCTAGTGGTGTACATTTATAGTCCCAGCTACTCGGAAGGATCACTTGAGCTCAGGGAACCAAGGGAAGGGACCGGGCTCAAGCTAGGGCAACCAACCCCGGGGCAGTTGCTCCAACCCCACGTGGGTGGCCTTACTGTGCACCAGCTCTGGGAGCTGGCTCCCACAAGCACCCTGCCAACAATGTGACCCAGCATCCCTGGACCAGGAGCCCCCAGGTCCTCCCTCACACAGATGCACCTGGCCCTTGTGGACCTCCCAAGTAGCCTACAGGGTGGAGGTGGCCTCGGGCAGGGGGATGGGCTGCAAGTTCTGGGGCTGCCCCTTACCAGCACACACATGCACTCACCTGTACAGTGGAGATCTGGACAGGAGGGGCGTTGGTGGGGGTGGCAGGGCGGGGAGTCATGGTGGTCTGAGGCTGGGCCTGGGCGTGGGCCTGGGCCTGCATCTGGGCCAGAGCCTGCTGAGGGATCATCAGCAGCTGCCCATTCTCGCTCCGCACGAGGACCATTCCTGGGGACAGAGGGGCCTGGCATCAGGAAACACACCTGACCCAAAGCACTGATGAAGGCCCTGGCCCTACCCAGGGAAGCTGACAGCTGTGAGATGGGAATACATGAATTCACCAACCTCCAAACACTCTGCTATACAGCTGGTGGACAGGAAGAGCAGGCTGCAGCAGGACTCAGAACAGTAACCAACCTTCCCCTTAGAAGGCAAGTGCCGTCCACACACTACCCCACACCAGCCCAGGCATCCCATTTCTCATCAGCCAGGGGCCTGCTCTTCTCACAGGCCACAGTGGCTGGGCCACAACCATCTCTGCCCACACAAAAAAAGGTCTCCCCAGCCTGCATCCTATGATGTGCAAAACAAACAGAAGACAGTGGCCTGCTCTATTCCTGATGGGGACACTCTCTCATGGGGTGAGCAGCGTGGTCCCCAGCTCAATCTGGGATATCCACAGAGCGGCACCCTGCTCTGTGGCAGGAGGGGCCCAGCGCCATCTGTGGCTCTTTGGCTAAATCACAGGAGAGCAAATCCTACCAGTCAGGCCTGGCATTGGGTTCAGCTTCAAAACACAGAAACCAATTATATCAAAAACATTAGAAACAGTAAAGCAACTACATAACTTTGCAGTTTAATTTCCCGTGACAGATGCAGTGAGGAGGCTACAGGAGGAAGCTGTGCACCAAGGCCTCCTGCAGGTGAAGCCCACCAAAGGTCCAGCAGGAAGGAGACAGGTGACACAGCGGCACTGGCCCATCCCAAACCCCATGTCTCACATGCAACTACACCAAGGAGATGCCCACGGGGCCCCCTGCATTGTGCAGCTGCTGCTTCCTCCCCATTAGGGTGATTTTAAACGATACTCTCAAAATGTGAGCTCTGGCTCAGCGCCTGTGGTTCAAACGGCTAAGGCACCAGCCACATACACCTGAGCTGGCAGGTTCAAATCCAGCCCAGGCCTGCCAAACAACAATGATGGCTGCAACCAAAAAATAGCCAGGCGTTGTGGCGGGCACCTGTAGTCCCAGCTACTTGGCTACTTGGGAGGCGGAGGCAGGAGACTCGCTTGAGCCCAGGAGTTGGAGGTTACTGTGAGCTGTGATGCCACAGCACTCTACTCAGGGCAACAGCTTGAGGCTCTGTCTCAAAAAAAAAAAAAAAAAAAAAAAAAGTGAGCCCTGAAAACCTCCTGTTAGTCCTCCTGGCAAGTAAACACTGGCCTCCTCCTCTGGGAGACCCAAGCCTCAGAGCAACCTCAGGCTCCAGGCTCTTTCAAAACCCATCATGATTTCAGAAATAACACAGAAGCCTCTCTCTGGGCTAATGTCTAAAATTCTTGATCCAAATGAGCCACATTTACGTTCCATTGAGAAAATTTCCCTCCAAACATCCCTTTCAAGCTAAACCATGATGAAATCAAACAAAACCGAAAACCCAGCTGCTTCAAATGCTCTGCTGAAGTTTCTCCAAACCTGGGAGCTTGTGATTGAGCCGACAAGAGAAAGGCCCCCCAGGCTCCAGCACAGACACCAACTCTCTGCTCAGTGCTGCAGCTGCATGCTCACCAGGCCAAGCAGGTGCTCAGGTCAGCACAGACCACCCACACTGGGCAGGAGCCAGTGAGAGCACCCCCTACCCACCAAGGATCACTTAGGACAGGGACCTTGGCAGAGATGACCCCCTTTTGACACCAGGTTCTCAAATCCACCTGTCCATTCACTTCACCCTCTGACCACTCCAAGACTGCCCTCTCCTTCTTGAGACTGAGCAGCCCCATCTGACTCAAGCTCACAGCACATGGCACGCAGATGGCAAATGACAAGACCAAGTGCAGAGGCCCCCTCAAGATGCAGAATCCTGCCGTCAACACACCATCTATTTTTATTCTCATAAGGTTTTTTGCTTAAAAAATTACATTCAAACAAATTTAAATGAATATGTAAAAAGTAAGTGTCAATGGAACAGCAATGTGATTCAAATCCTAACTAAGTAAAAATGGTATTTTGGACATCATGAAAGAAGAAACAGATACTGTTTGCTGTGAAACATGCCCATGGTGAGGGCCAGTGCGTCCATGCTGAGGGTCAGTGTGCCTGTGGTGGGGGCCAATAAGCCCACGGTCAGGCCAAAAGCTGGGTGAGCAATCAGAAGTCCTGCCAAGAAGTGAGCACTGACTTGCGGCAGGTCACTGACCAGTCCAGACACTTACATGGACCAGCCTCTGACATGGTGCACAGAGGGGCAAGCGAGAAGTAAAGGCCCCTGAGCCATTAGCAGCCCCTTGCTGTCAGCTCAACCAGCATGTGGCCAGGTCCTCCCTAAGTTCCGCTGAAGTTTGTTTCTGACAATTACCCACTGTGAGGCATTTGGGGACCTCTTTCCTGTTGTCCCCCTGGTTACAATGTATTACAATCAGCACTTCTGAGGAAAAGCTGCTGGACATGCAGGTGACTGCCTGAGGACAGTCCACCAGCAACCACAGTGCCCTGCTTCAGTGCCAGAGCCACCACTGGACCTCAGGCACTAACTCTGGTCACAACTTACTCATTTCAAGCAGATAAAAAACTGCGCTGATCTGTTCCTGCAACCACAAAGAAACACCACCTTGTTCCAAAATGTTAACATGAAGCAACTTAAAAGGTCACAGAAAAGTAATCCACCTCATTTCAAGGCCATCTGCCGGGGGCCATGACCAGCAGGTGCAGCAGCCCACACCCCACTTCACAGCTGGGGACCTCCTTCACAGGGGGAAGAGTGGAGCGTCTGCAGGGGGCAGGGGCAGCCTAATCTCAGCCCCATGAGCACTTCAGGGGACGTGTCCCCTAGTTCACAGCCAAGCACAGCCAATGTCTCTGGAGCAGGAATGAACCATGCACTTCATCAGCTCACCGCTCCAGACAGACTCGGGTTCCCACCCAACACCCGTCTCCGGAGACCTTTCAGGACCAACACTTTCCACTTTATTTTAAACCAAGATGTGAAGCATCTGAAGCTGCACTACAAACCCAACAGGCATCTCCATCCTGGGCATCACCAACTGTGCCTTGTGGAAAGCGCTAACCCTGGAGGCCTAAATGTCACCAGGCACCCTTAGGTACAACCTGACATGGGGTCTGGGGCTGCAGGCTTCCCCCAACCTTCCCGAGTATCCCCAGGCCAGGGGCACAGACCACACAGGGACCCTTAGGTTGTAATGTCAGCAAGCAAAATAGCAGCCCTGCACCTCCGGGAGCTGACAAGGTGGCCCTCTGCAGAGTCTGTAAAGACAGGGCACGAGGCAGAGCTTCCCCTGAATGTGTGTAGAATGAGCCCACAGCTCCCAAAGCCCCGCACCTGGTATCATAGCATCCAAGGACCAGAGGGGCCAAGCCAGCCCACCTAATTTGCATCTAGAAGCTTCTGTTCCAAGTTCCCCAACCGTGTCTTCCCCTGCTCCAAGGCTCAGGCATCTCACAGGACCCTCCCGCAGGAGCTCTGGGCAGCTGCTAGAGCAGACAGCCCTGCTGGCCCCAGGCTGTGGCCGCATCAGACGAACGGGAGCCCATGCAAGCACCACTGGCCAGGGCTTGACCAGTAACCCTCACCTCCCACACCACCAGCCCAACCCCTACCCAGGCTGGAGGGGCCTCAGGCACTGGGTGACACAAACTAGCGCACACTGTGGCTGCCTCAGCATGAGCGTTCCTTGGGCTCCCAGAGCTCTTTGTAAACTAACAAAGGTTCCACCTTTTAAACTATTTGGGGGGAGAGAGTAGTTCATGAACCAATGGAGTTACAACTGCAGAGAAGCACAGGAGTGCCCACGGGACTCTTTGCCCTGACCCACCTCACACCTGGGAGGCACAAACCACCAGGCAGACACCAGGCCACTCCCAGGCCCTCAGTCCCAGGGTCTTGCTTCTTTAAGGACAGCTGAGTCATGACCTTCACTCCTGCCGCCCTTCTTAGTGAGGCTGGGCCCCTGTATCCCTGGCACACTCACAAGACAGTGGTGCCAGAGCCCCGCCATAGCCGTGTGCCTCACCATCCAGGGACACCTGCTCAGCTCTGCTTCTAGCAGCCCGATTCTCTCTGTGGCTGCCACCTGCTGGGCTCTGTCGTCTGTCCATTGAGTTCTAATTTTATCCACACTTTAGAACTTCTTCTATCTGCTTCGTTTTCAAATCTGCCCGCTCTTCATGATAACGCACCGCTCCACTCCTGAGTCTCCAATTCCCTCCTGTGTGCCCTGCGTCAGCTCCCTGAGGAGGGCGTCTCTCCGTGTGCCTGGTAGATCAGCTCTGTCTGAGGTGCTCCTGTGTGGCCTGGCTCGAAGGCATAGTCCCCCGAAGGGTTCACCTTCACCTCTCCCAAAGTCAGGGCTTTCATCAGTGGAATCCAAGCCCAGCCCCAGTAGGACAGGCTGGGGGCCTCTCCCCTCTGTCAGTACCTTGCAGCCTCTCGAATCCAACTCTCCCCCTGTGGTTCTCTGGCCAACCTGGTGTGAAAACACGTCCCAGCCCACTAGCTCCCGTCCACTCCATTTCCAACTCCTGATAGTTTTATTTTCTAGGAAGTTAAACTCTTTTTTTTTTTTTTTTTTTTTTTGAGAAAGAGTTTCACTATGTCACTCTTGGTAGAGTGCTGTGGCATCACAGCTTACAGCAACCTCAAACTCTTGGGCTCAAGCAATTCTCCTGCCTCAGCCTCCCAAGTAACTGGGTCTACAGGCAGCTGCCACTACGCCCCTCTTTTTTGGTTGCAGTTGTGATTGTTGTTTGGCAGGGCTGGGCTGGGCTGGATTTGAACCCGCCAACTGCAGTGTATTGGCTGGCACCCTAACCGCTGAGCTTCTGGCGCCGAGCCTCAACTCTTCATTTAAAACAACATTTCCAATTTCTCCAGCCTTCCAGTGTGTTTCGTACTGTCTGGTCCTGCCCCTCCTCTGTGGCCGAGGGCCAAGGACCACTAGCTACCTGGAGCCCAACACAACCCAGAACACAGAACACGAACTGACAGACA